CAGGTTCACCACAGTGATGTTCTGCTCTGATGGAGAAACACTGAAACAAGCAGCACTGACCTTCTTCCATCTGTTCTCCATGTTAAAGAAATGATCCTCTTCTGTTTGGATGCTGATGGTCTTTCTCCGAGCTGGATTTGTCTCAGTAACCCTTCTCCTCTTTGTCATGTTTTCCAGGTTCATCAGGACAAATCATCCTGACTCAGTCTCCTGGAGCTCAGTCTGTTGCTCCAGGACAGACTGTCAGCATCAGATGTAAAGCCAGTACAGGTGTTAATAGCTGGCTCCACTGGTACCTTCAGAAACCTGGAGAAGCTCCTAAACTCCTGATTTATGATGCTACAATTCGTCAGTCTGGAGTTCCAGGTCGTTTTAGTGGAAGTGGATCAGGGACTGACTACACTCTGACCATCAGTGGAGTTCAGGCTGAAGATGCAGGAGTTTACTACTGTCAACACCGTTACGGCTACCCGCTCACACAGTGAAATAACGTCGTACAAAAACCTCCTCAGCTGCAGAGGAACTGATCTGAACCAACTGCTGCACTTAAATTCAAAACAAAGTAGGTTTCACAAAAATACAACATAGAAAAAAATTCACTTTGAACATTTTGATACTAAATACACTGTTTTAAATCCAAAAACATTTAATGCTTCACTTAAAACAGGTTGTAAAACATTTAGTTGAACATCAAACTGATGTTCTCTGTCGGTGTAATTCTCTGATAACTTTATTATTTACAGCATAACAACATGTGGACACTAACACTGTAAATACTTGTTTTACATCTCACAGTTTTTCATAAACACTAAAATACTCATTTATATGAATTATTTTTAATGAAAACCAATTTCAGTCATCTTACAAAATATGACCACTGGTCTGCAGGGAGCCTCAGGGTGCTGCTCCAGCTGTAGCGCCCGTCCTTCTCCAGCACCCCGGGGGCTCCTGGCCTCCTCCCAGGTGTTGCTGTCACTGCTGCTGCCATCCACCTTCCAGGTCAGACTCCAGTCTGAGGGGAAGCCCTTGTTGGCCAGACACATGAGCGTGGCCTTCCCCTGCTGCAGCTCCTCGCTGGAGGGGGCCAGCACATTCAGGGTGGGACGGGCATTATCTAGGAGACACCAATCAGCTTAGAGGACAGGGACCACACAGCTGTCAATCAAACAGCAGACACCTGGACACCTTTACTGTGTGAGAGTGGATTTTCTTCTTTAAGGAGTTTCTGTCAGAAGGTGTTTCTGCTCCAGTGTTTCACTTCCCTCTGAGCTCAGTAACCATAGCAATAGACAGTCATCACCGCTGAACCATGGCAACGGGCAGGTTTCAGCCTGAAGATCAAAGCTTCAAGCAGGAACCAATGAATTTAATTTAAGGAACAAACATAAACATCAGTGTTCAAGGGTTAAAACTGATGTGCTGAAGCCTGAGCGACAGGCTTTTATTTGATCGGACACAGTTTTAGTTCCAACCAGATCTCATCTTCGTTTACACAGGCGTCACTGCTGCACCACGACCACACACACACACACACACACCTTTTACATACTGGAGGTTCTGCAAGTCGAAGCACTAATCTCACTAATAGCACATACAGTTTAATTAGTTACAGTCAGATTATGATTCCTCTGGTTACTGCAAAGACGTTACATGTCAGTAAATCCTTCAGTTTAGGACGAAGGTTGTGTAAAACATGTAATGTTAATAGATAAAACAGTTTATAAATATTTTTGGTTGATTTCTTTACTTGGAAAGTATAAAAAGTTAATGACATTAGGTATATTAAGTATTAGCTTTACAACTAAACACTTCTTGACACTAAAATAACGAATCCAAACTAAATGTAAGTAAAATAAATTCATAACAATGTACAAATGTATCAAAATGAATATTTTGACGGCGAACAGTTTTCCCCCAGACAGTGATGCTGGTAAAAGCCAATGTTCTACATTTTTATTTCAGCCACTAACCTAAATATTTAAGTAAGGCAGGTAAGGCTTTACTGAAAATACAAGAAGCTTAAATATTTAATTTGAGTTCATGTCGAAGTCAAACGTACTTACAACTAACCTCCAGCCTGGTTCCTAACTGAATATGTACCACAGTTAAAAACTGGTTGAGTCATCGTACAAAATCCTCTAACTGCAGAGACATGGCTTTTCAAAAACGAGTTATTTAATATAAAACGGAACAAACACTGCGATACAACGACTTACAAAGGCCAGGAATTCCATAACACACAGAGGCTGGACGTCAGAGTCTTCTTCAAAGAAACAGACACACACGCTCTACTGTTCAAAACCAGCTTTCATCCTAAACACACATATGTCCACTAGTGTGGGCAGTCTGATTTCTGGTTGGCACTGCTACTGTGAAATGGGTGAGCACGTCGGTTAAGACCAGGACATTTTCATATCCTCCCACGGATTTCTCCAGAACAGTATAATCCATTGCAAGGACTTCCAACGGTGCAGACACATTGGTGCATACCATTGGGGCTCGGAGTTTAGGAAATACATCCTTTGTGAGGGTGCATTTCTTGCATTCCTGAATCCAGTTTTGGACATCCTTGCTCATTGTCGGCCAATAATAACTTCGCCTCATGCGCTCCAGCGTGCTTCTCTCTCCAAAATGACCACAGTGATCATGCTGACTCTCATGCACTTTGTGGCGTAAGGATTCTGAGACTACTAACTGACTAATTTCTTCTCCATGACGATGATCAAAGATTGTCTGGTACAACACCCCTTTTTTCAGTTGGAGTTGTGTGAATTGTCTAGCAAGTTTTTTTAAACTCTATGTCCATGTTGCGTAGCTCAGCTGGATTCAGGTTTTTGTTAACTAGGACAACACGGTAGACAGGGGCTACATGAGGGTCAGTCTTTTGTTGCTGCTCTACGTCATCCCAGCTGCATCCAGGGACCTTCTTGGTCATCGACGCTCGAACCAAGGCTTGTACATTCTGCTGCTGTTTGGTCATTGGCCACAAGCATGCACGCACCTCACCCGCATCCATCTTAATGAAGTCATTAGCAAGGTCTTCTTGTTCAGGCTCCTCAACGGTGGGAATCCTTGACAACATGTCTGCATTTGTGTTTTGTTATCCTGGTTTGTAGTAGACCTCAAAATCAAACTCCGCCAGTTGAGCCAGCCACCGCTGTTCGACAGCGCCTAGATTTGCTGTTTCCAAGTAGCGCAGGGGGTTGTGATCTGTAATCACAGAGAACTTGGAATAGATCAAGTATTCCTTAAACTTTTCAGTTACAGCCCACTTTAAGGCCAGCAGTTCTAGCTTGAAAGCGCTGTAATTTCGGTCGTTCCTTTCTGATCCACGAAGACCCCGACTAGCATAGGCAATCACACGCTCGGTACCCCCATGATGTTGACTTAACACAGCCCCAAGTTCATGTAGACTTCGATCCGTCGTGAGTACAAAAGGCTGACTGAAATCCAGATATGCGAGGACAAGTGGGGACACTAAACACTGCTTGAGACTGTCGAATGCAGTTTGGCACTCCGTTGTCCAGTCGAGATATCCATTGGTTTTACACTCTCCTCCCTTACTAACCAGGGCATGAAGAGGCTGGGCTAATTGAGCAAAGCCAAGGATGAACCGCCCCCATCATGCGCTGAAATGTGTTAGGAGCATTGCATAATCCAAACGACATCCTGGTCCATTCATACAACCCAAAGAGGATGGTAACTGCTGTTTTTGCTCTATCCTCTTCATCCATCGCCACTTGGAAATAGCCGAATGTAAGGTCAAGGGTTGAGAAGAGCTGGGCATTTCCCAAGGCATCCAGTGACTCCTCCACTCGTGGAAGGGGGTAGGCATCTTTGCAGGTCACCTTATTCAACCTTCTGTAGTCACAGCAAAGGCGTATGCTGCCATCCTTCTTTATCACGATCACTGCTGGAGATGCCCATGGACTACAGCTTTCTCTGAGGATGCCCTTAGACACCAAGTCTTGGACGTGTTTCTTCACCTCCTGGAACACCTGAGGTGGAATTCGGCGATGTCTTTGCTTAATAGGGGGAGCATCTCCTGTTGGGACACCATGCGTGACAGCTGTCATATAATCAAGGTCACAGTCGTCCTTGGAAAACACATCGCTGTGCTTAGCCAGTAGATCCTGAAGTTGGTGACGTTGGGTTTCTGTGAGACTCTCTAGATTAACTTGCACAGGCACTGGTAGTTGCTCTGAGGTGCCTACTTCCGCCTTCACTTGATGTTGCTGAGCAGCTGTAACATGCAAGGTATTCTCTTTCTCCACCGACTCAACCAGTACTTTTGGTACCACCTCCCGTGGCTTGGACAACGTAGCAATCCGACATCGTGGCGGAAGTCGTACAGGCTTTCCACTAGAGTTCAGCACTCTAACTGGAACTTTACCATCAGCTGTCTTAGCTAGTACATTGGCAACCAGAACACTCTTAGGCAAACTGACTTTTGAGGAGGCTTCCACTAGCACTTGGCAGCTCATTTTCGGTGGGATTCTGCAGCGGCCTTCGAAGACACATTCACTGAATGGAGGAAGAGTGACTGCGTTCTTCCCAGAAATTTTCACAAAACCAATTCTGTCTCCAATGCTCAGTGCTTCCGTTTGTGAGGTAATTTTAGCCAAAACTCTCTGAACCTTTGCCTCCTTGAAACCTTTACCATATCTTCCTGTCTTCTTCATGTCCCCAGTGGGCAGGAATAGGTTCTTTAGCCCACTCAACACATTCATTCCAACAATACCAGGTACTCTTTTCTGTTCCGTGTTGTTGGGGTCACTCTCTTTGGTTACGAACACACACTTTCCATGTAATGTCTTCCTCATACACTCGATGTCTGCTTCTAGACATCCAACGATAGGAATGTCTAGGCCGTTGCTGCTGTGAGTCGTACCCAATTGGCGGACGACAGCTCAACTTCTCAAAATAAAAGTCTTTGCGCAATAGAATTTGTAGGACCCCTACACATTGTACAACAACCTCCCTCAGTCAGACTGAACAGAAACTGAACTGACTGCTGCAGCTGGAAGCTACTGCACAGGCGGATACACTTCACTGAGGACACACATAAAGATTATATTGTTTGGTGTTATATTCATTTATTAATGTGTTCACTGATCAGTTTGAAGACATTCACTGCTTTCAACAGTTATGTATCATATCCACACATACAACTATCAATTCAATGTTGCTTATTAAGCATCCAACATCTATACTGCTTATCCTAACGAGGGATGTGGGACAGCTGGAGCCACTCCCAGCTGACACTGGGCGAGACGTAAGGTTCACCCGGGACAGACTGCCAGTCTATCACCGGGCGAACATGCAGACTCCACACAGGAAGGCCCTGGGACTACTGGAGCTTGAACCCAGAACTTTATTGCTGTGAGGCGACAGCGCTATCCACTAGGCAACTGTGCCACCATGTACTAACCACCAACAGCATATAAAGTCAGAACAGGGGACTGAGGATGGAGCCTTGGGGAACACCAGAAGTTACAATGACAGTAGCTGGTGAATGTTGACCACATCAGACATCATCTCTGCCTGACAGACTGACACTGAACAAGTTTGACCCTGTGACACAGGAGAGAACATGTCTACAATATTAGTATTAGTATACTGTAGAAGTATCTGAAATAGCACTTTAATATATATTGTTAAAACTCTGGTGATAGCTTTATTAATATTTTACCAGCAACACTCTTTTACAGCTGGTAAACAGGACATCTTAATGAGTTTCCACTAATCTACCAGATTATGGTTTAAGAAGAGCGCAGTCCCAGCCGAGAGCAGGAAACAGGCCGACACGCTGAGTACAGATGCAGCTT